CTTATCTACACAGGACAAGGAAAGAAGAAGGGTTAAAAACCTGCCATCTCATTTGGAATAAAGAATAAGAGAAACAACCGAGTACCTTGACATTGAAGGATGTCGACTAATGACTTCCCCACTTTCCCAAAACGTACTCCAAGTTTAACTGAAAAAGACAGTGTATTATGTCAGAATGAAAGAATCTGAAGGCCTTAGTTTAGGAAACATTGCAACATACAAGGAAATTAGTTGAAAGTAAACTAATGAAAGTCTAAACAGAAATTTAAGAAAATGTGCAAATTTATATTAAAACGCCAAACTTTATTATTCAAGATTTGGGAACGGGATCAGAATTCTTTCCTACAGATTTGAGATACATGTTCTCAAGTCTCAACAACAAAAACAAGTAAATGCTGCCAAGGTTGATATGGGTCATCCAAGACCCTAGGTAGTTAGGTTTTTCACATAGTCCTCAAGTTCACTTCGGCGATAAGCATGGTCAATCCTAGCTTTCTCCAAGTCTTCACCTTCAAGATAGGTAATCAAGGCATAAACCTTGGTTCTTGGAGAATTTTCACGAAATTCCAGACTGTGTTACCAACATTGCATAATTTATATCTGAGGGAGGCTTTTCCATGGTTTTGGATTGACTATCACAGGGAGACTATACGCTTGACATATTAGTCCTTTGGTGACACTTGTGCCTTTCCTTGGAAACAGAGTTCTCCTGAGTTTCAATAGCAGAAATAAAGATTCTAATCAGGTATGAGAGGAATTCCCAATTTGGTGCTACTCAGGAGGCAATTGTTACTTCTTCATTATTGATGTCTTTGTTGAAGACTTCTTCTCATTTTTACTTTTGTTTTAGTGCATATCCAAGAGATCCTGCATTAGACAATGATGAAAACTCTGCATTCAACTTATAAGAAGACAAATGTACTTCACGCTAACATGATTTCAAAAGGAAAATGTTAATGAGTAACTTACTTGGCAAGTCTCTCATTCTCTCAATTTGCTCCGAAATTTTCGCCTTCAAAAGATACGTGAATTTGAAAAGAAACATAAATTGAGGTCATATGCATCTATCCAATGCCAAAATTATCCACCTTTACATCAATGGAAAAACTATTGGTCCTTTCTAATCTAAGGTTGCCTCAACAACATGCTGCAAATCACTAATGGGCTCTATATTCGGGATTCCGTAAAACGTAAAACACATAAAGAAAAGTCTGTTACAAGAAGAACAGACAACAGACAATAGAAGAAACTTCAATGGAAACAGGGAAGGCATGGACACAGCAGTATAAAACATCCACAAAAATGGAATATTAAAATAAGTTGTCCACCCAATAGCATTCATTGAGTCCCATGATGATTGACAATTGAATACATAACCATAGACTAAAGTGAACATATGTACCAGACTAGAGCTGCTTATAGACCAACGTCAAAACAAGAAGTACATAAGCTGGGCCTTCACATCCAAACAGAAATGGGTTAGTAACTCACATCAACTGCCCAGTTAGGTTGTTCAACATTGATGTCATGTATTGTACACTTTTTTGATATAGGATACGGCCTCAGTGTTCTGTGCAAGAATAAAAAGCAGTTAGCATTTAAAGACAATATATATAGCTGAAGCTAAGTAATAAGCACAGAAGATTAGTACATTTGAGAAAACACATCCAGATTTTGAGTCATTTGTTGTTCTCATGGACCTTATAAAAATGAAGAAGAAAACAAAAAATATCAATGAGGCACATAAAAAAATTATCACCAAGAAACAGAGAAAGTTACTGCTCCCTACATATCAGGATCAAAATGTTAAAGCCGGAGGGATTTATTAGCATCACCAGAGAAGATAAAAAGTGTCTATAACCAACATATCAACTCTTATTGTAGAAGTATTAACAACTGCTAAGAAAGATGGCCGAACCTAGAGTTCACCTTATTAACTAGTAAGAAAGACTCGACAATCCTTGATAGTGCCCAGCCATTTTTCTTTTAAAAAAACTCAGCTCTCGAAAATGCATAAATCTGCTCCTCCATAGCTTATTGAAAACATGTTGTCTCAGGATTATTGTTTGAAAACAGTTTCTGACAAATGCAATCCAGGTGATTTTCAATCCATTACCTCTTGAAATCTTATGAATAATACATTTAATGAGCCCTAACAGACAAATACAACCTGAATTGTCATTCAATCACTTAATATACAAAAGAAAGGGCACTCATCTATAGTTTATTTTGCATTTTTTCCCTTTTATGGCAAAATACTATGTTAGAAACCAAAAAAAAAAAAAAATTGATATAAGAACATGGAAGTGCACCCTGTGTCATAGCATTAGGAGTTAGTAAAATCTAACATCCATACAGATGTCCACGTTTATTTAACCATGTACCACTCGATATAAATAGGCCTTGGGAGCTAGAAATATCAATCCAGCAACCTAAACTTGAATCATGTGTCAAGCACACAATCTCTGGTGAAGCAAGTATTGATCAAAATTGTAAAACATAATGTCACAAGAACAAAATAGAATATATGTGTAAGAATAAAAATACAAAAAGGAAACAAGAGAACTACCCTGTCCAATCAAAATGCAGAACTTTTGGAGTTTGAGCCTACCCTTTCCTCAAGCAATACAACCAACCATCACGCAGTAAGGCTGAATTTTGTTCACCACCGCTGTCTGGTGTAAGTGAGGAGCCAGGAATTTTCATTAGGGTGGGCACTACAATTATATACTCCATTTATTATTTTTCCTCTTAACCGATCACAATAAAATGATACATTTGCATTTATCATATTATATTTGATACATCAAGGTTGTTCAATATAAAAGGGTCAAATAATGCATATTGTGCATGTATACACAAATGACTAAGTATCACCATTGTAAAAATGTGAGTTTAATTGATATTGTGTAATTCAAAAACTAACAGCCATCTACTGATCATCCATTACATTTATTCGATAAATTTTTTTCCAAATATTATCACTAAACTGAAACTTAAGAACCAAACATAGTAAAAATTATAAAATTAAATTGAAACATAATAAACACTACAATCAACTGTCAAACAAAAATAGAGATGAGTTGTCACAGGAAAATAAAAAGTCAATTAAATGTCAATTGCAAGTATTATCACATTCAAATTAACAAAATAAAATTTATGCTCATTAACTAAGACACTCAAACCACCAAGAAAAAATCCTACCCATCCTATACAACACATTTTCTTTATGTTCGTTAACTATAGCAATATAGCTTTAAAGGCTACAATTCCCAGGAACTTTAACTAAAACAGTAATTCAGCAAAATCACATATGGTGTGGAGAGAAAAAATTGGATGGACAGATGTGTGTTGCGTTTGGGTTGGATTTAAGAGAGGTGCCTAAAACAGCATGTTCCCAACTGCATTATAGATCATGTCATAACCTTCAAGATCAACACATACCAATTGGTATTGTTTTCTCCAAGCCCTCATAACTACATTGAACCAGCAGTCGAGATGTTTCATCAGTGCCCCCCCACAAAAAATGTTTCATTACGATCACCAGCATAAGGACAAGTCTGTCAACTGTGAAAAACATAGTATATGAATGATGCGATGAAACAATGATAGAGGTATAATCATTCTTACCATGGACAATTTTATAGTACACGACTACATCGACATTTAAAATATCACCATCTTCTAATTTCCAGAAATGGTTAATAATTCATATTCAATCCAATAGCATCACTCAAATTCAACATAAGTTTATAGGTTAGCAAAAGGTATCCCTCGTGGGTTAATCATAAGGAATTAAATCTTGAAAATTTCTAACTGAATGAAATAAAGTTAGCCCTATCTATTTGAACCTGTCTTCATGGAGGAACATCAAAATTTTAAGAAGCGTGGTCAATCCTAGTTTTCTCCAAGTCTTCACCTTGAAGATAGGTAATCAAGGCATAAACCTCATTTCTTGGGAAATTTTCACGAAATCCCCAACTAGTTTATCAACATTGCATAATTTATAGCCGAGGGAGGCTTTACATGGTTTTGGATTAACCATGATAAGGAGACTATGTGCTTGACATATTAGTCCTTTGGTGAGACTCGTGCCTTTCCTCCGAAATAGAGTTCCAACAGCAATATTAAGATTCAAATCAGCTGCGAGAGAAATTTTCAATTTGGTGCAATTTTGGAGGGAATTGTTACTTCTTCATTGTTGGTGTCTTTGTTAAAGGCTTCTTCTCATTTCTACTTTTGTTTTAGTGCATATCCAAGAGATCCTAGATTAGAAAATGATGAAAACTATGCATGCAACTTACAAGAAGACAAATGCATTTCACGCTAACATGATTTCAAAAGGAAAATGTTAATGAGAGTAACTTACTCGGCAAGTCTCTATCATGCTCTCAATTTGCTCCGAAGTTTTCACCTTCAAAAGATACGTGAATTTGAAAAGCAACATAAATTGAGGTCATATCCATCTATCCAATGCCAAAACTATCCACCTTTATATCAATGGAAGAACTATCCTTTCTGATCTAAGTTTACCTCAACAATTATCCTTTTTGAACTGTCATTGTATTCTATTTTTATTACTTAGCTAAGTAATAAGCATAGAATACTATGTTAGAAAAAAAAATAGATACACAAACAATAGGTACATGCCCTGTGTTATAGATTGAGGAGTTAGTAAAATCTAGCATCCATACACACGTCCAAGTAGATTTAACCATGTACCACTCGATATAAATAGGCCTTGGGAGTTAGAAATATCAATCCGGTATCCTAAACTTGAATCATGTCTCTTGCACAAGCTCTGGTGAAGCAAGTATTGATAAAAATTGCAAAACATAATGACAAAGGAACAAAGTAGAATATAAAATCTAAGAATAAAAATACAAGAAGAAAAAAAGAGCAATACCCTGTCAATCAAAATGCGATGAAGTTTTGGAGTTTGAGCCTGCCCTTTACTCGAGCAATATAACCAACCAACAACCAGTAAGGCTGAATTTTGTTCACCAAGGGTAGCCAGTGCAAGTGAGGACAACTTTACCTTCAAATGGACTGATTTGTGAGAGCTCCAGGATGCCTTGAAGCAGTCGTGAGCGCTGGTAAAAGATAAAACTTATTAAAACCAAAGGAGTAAACTACAGCCAAAAAATTGTTAGAAATGGGAAGTTCAGATGACAGCATGTTTAGGTCAAGGCTTAAGTTTTCTTTTTCAGGATTACATTTGACTCATCAGACTAAAACGCAACAAAATCATCAATGATGAGCATTCAGAGCAAATACTCATCAGGGTTACTTGTTTCTTACCTTCATTTGAGCTTTCAGTGGAGGTAAGGAATGCAGGGTTTGAAGAACAGATAAGTTTCTTTGGTGACCTTGTCTTAGTCTCCAATTATGAAGCACTAGGAAACCTTCCACCATAACGCCTTCCACACAAAACTACCAAGCATAAAATAAAATTCAAGGTGGGTCTAAACAACACCAGACACATGCACCCCACACAACACATTCCAAGACATTAGACAAAAACTGTTGTTTATAACTAAGGAAGCAACAATTTATCAGAATTTACAAAGGGCACACACAATTCAATTAGTTTATTTGCTTGTAGAATACCTGCAAATATCACAGCAAGAACCAATAGTGGGTTAGGAGATGATTGTGGTACTCACAAAAGGGTAAAAATTAAAAGTAGTGTTATGGCAAGTGTTAATGGTTTTTCTCTTTTTTCTCAAGTTCACAAGCATTATTACAGTGATATATACCACCCAACAGATTTCTCATTCCGTCTTATCAATTAAATGCAATTCTTATATTGGGAAGGAGAGTATGTATTTGTTTGTTATGAGAAACAAGATTCTCAATATATGAAAAAAAAGTACAAAATGGTGAATAAGACATCCACCAAATGAAAAGGGAAAAAAGATAATGCAATGAAGGTCTTATGATTACCAATGAGAAATGACATTCCAATTCCGGTGTAATAATGAGAGGGGGAAATCACAGAACTCCTTTGCTAGAAGAAGTGAAGATTTATGGCCACTAGTCCAACTACCACGCAAAAATAAATCCATCCTTAATTCATCATGCTAGACACAGAACTATATGATAAGTCAACACTATTTATGTAACTACCTGCATGAATCATCTGGTTGATGGCACAACAGAAAGTAGATATATCTACAACCTTTTTCACCGTTGCTACTACTGCTCGATCTCAAGTCAGTGTACTCCTCTAAGAAGTCTATCACTGTATGAAAACAAACACTCAAAAACAGAAAATTAAACTTATTTGAAGTTTACAGGAAGATATGGACATAAACATCCAACACAAGAATCAACAGAATTGATTACAGATGGGGAGTTACCAGAACCTGAAAAAAGGTGAATGTGATCAACCCTTGTGAATGCAGCCAAATTTGATGTTGTGGAAATGATCATACCCTGACAATAAATCCTCCCTTTTTATTTCCACAATATAAGATGGGACGTTGTATATTTCAAATACTACACCATTGTACCTATCCACTCTTGGAGGGATATATCGAAATGAATCTAGAGCAATGATGAAGATTAATCACAACCAAAATAGAATAGTAGAATCAAGGGAATCATTAATCTAACAGATTTTACCTTGGATTTTTGCCATAATTGGTAACCTTCCAGAACTTATTTGCACCTCAGCATTTGATAGATACAAGTGAGATCTCTCGGGGAGCTTTACTGTCAGATTTATCTCCAGAAACTTTGTTCTCTCCAGCTTCTTGAGCATCAAAAGCAGTCTCTGAAAAATATTCCTTTTTCTCTCCCTGGACAATCCGATCTTCTACACACATCCCACCATTGAACACGTTCAACTTTCACCCTTACTCCTCATCTTACGAATGTACATATGAGCCAGACCAAGTTGCTGGATCACTCTCATTTAGCTCCGCCTCAATTGATGGCAGAAGCTCTAGTTTAATCACATAGCCTGATGGAGTATAAACTAACAGATGCTCCAAGGAATTAACCCCAGAGTGAACATCCTGCAAACCACGAAATACGGAACTGTGAAAAAACAACTGCACCAGCACAAGATGGCAGATTAACCTTTCCCTTTGCGGAAGTAGCAGAATTGCTAACTGTTGGGATTTAACACGATTTAAATTCACTAACAAACACACACAATCGAAGAACAAATCAAGAATATGAAGTAATAAGAAACAAAAAAAAACAAGACACAGATTTTACGTGGTTCGGCAATTTGCCTACGTCCACGAAGCTGCAGGGATTTCACTATTGAGAGAGTTGAATACAGAGAGCGGCTGTACAATCCACGATTAACCCTAATCACCAAAACAACAGGGTTTATATGTCCTATGCACTGGGCTGTATAACGGGCCCAAAAAAATTTTCCTCGGAGGCGTTGCCCCCGAACCCCCACGAGGCTCACACAACATTACTTCAGATCGGGTCATCATCCGGATCACATATACAAACTAGACTCCATAAAAAAAAACCAACACTAACTGAATAAGCAATCCCGAGGCATTATTCTTTATCCTCCTTACCACATAAAGGGTAAAAGGGTGCCGAGGTGAAGAAGATTGCTGGTTTAAGATGAAGTAGACCGCTGTGGTAGAGATACAATGGGATACAGGCATAGACCTTTGCCATGAGAAACAAGAGTTTGAAAGCTGGCATTGCCACCAAAGGGGGATAAAAAGTAGCAAGTCCCTTGGGCTGGATATTAGTAATCCACTAATAGTAATGACTGAAGCACAAGTCTTGGATGATCTGCCAAATAAAACACAGTAATCCAAACAAGATTGCACAAACTTCGATCATTTGGAAAGGGAGAGAAGAAAATAATGAATGCTGAGACACGGATGTATACTAGCTGTTGTTATCATTCCACGATAGATCTTGTAAAGCTGCACATGAGAAGAGCCCAGTCATAGGTTTGAGTGGCTGCACTATTATGTATCCAAGAATCAATTTCCTTAACAAAAACCTGCATTCAAGCATAATAACAAGAAAAACATAACATTTAAAAAGAGAAAGATATAGTGGTTTTTCAGCTGAGGCGTGAAAATCCATGTATACATCTACTTTTCAACCTTATAACTGTCAACCATAAATTTTACTTCTTTTTCCTTGTTACATTTTGACTTCATTCAATCAATTAAACATAAAGGCTTCGTTTGTTTCAATAGACACCAAATAAGGAAATGACTTTTGTTAGGGGTAGAAATCGCGCGCTCGGATCTCATCCCTGAACACTAAGAATTCTGGCTGGCCTGTAGCCTTTACCTCTATCCCACATCGGGTAAGAGTAAGTGGCTAGTGGGTACCTCCTCCATAAGAAGTGTTCACTTATATGGCAGGAGGGAGACAACTCCTACCCGATGTGAGATGGAGGTAAAGGATACTGTATTACCTTAGGAAAGAGTGGTTGACCAGCCAGAATCCTTGGTATTCAGGGATGAAATCCGAGCGCGCGATTTCTACCCCTAACATAAAAGGCGTCTTTTATGTAAGGGGTAGAAATATCTACGGATCTCATCCCTCCACTTGAAGGATTCGGGCTGACCTGGCAGCACCGAGCTCCAGTAGTCTTTACCTCTCTTCGCCAATAGGACCCTTTCCTAAGGCAATCCCACATCAGAAGAGAGTCGTCTCCCCCCTGCCATATAAGTGAACACTTCCTATGGAGGAGGTACCCACTAGCCACTTGATAGGGTAGAAATCGCACGTTCGGATCTCATCCCTAAACACCAAGGATTCTGGCTGGCCTGTACCCTTTCCTAAGGCAATACAGTAGCCTTTATCTCTCAGTGCCCGTATGGTGCTTCGTCCCACATCGACTGAGAGTCGTCTCCCCCACCCCCTTATAGGCCTGAGCCCCTTAGGGATGGGTACCCACTAAGGCAATACAGTAGCCTTTATCTCTCAGTGCCCGTATGGTGCTTGCCTAGTGGATACCCATCCCTAAGGGGCTCAGGCCTATAAGGGGGTGGGGGAGACAACTCTTAGTCGATGTGGGACGAAGCTCCACACGGGCACTGAGAGATAAAGACTACTGTATTGCCTTAGGAAAGGGTGCAGGCCAGCCAAAATCCTTGGTGTTCAGGAATGAGATCCGAACGCGCGATTCCTACCCCTAACATAAAAGGCGCCTTTTATGTTAGGGGTAGAAATCGCTACAGGAAATGCTAGTGAGTACCTCTTCCATAGGAAGTGTTCACTTATACGGCAGGGGGGGAGGCGACTCTCTTCCGATGTGGGATTGCCTTAGGAAAGGGTCCTATTGGCGAAGAGAGGTAAAGACTACTGGGGCTTGGTGCCGTCAGGTCAGCCGGAATCCTTCAAGTGGAGGGATGAGATCCGTAGCAATTTCTACCCCTTACAACTTTTAGCCTCAGCCATTGGTATTGCCAGCATATTACCATGAATAAATGTTAATCACCCTGTATAAAAGACTTACACTATCATCCATCTAACAAGAAGGAAGTTATTTTTATACATTAATGTGAAATTTAGAAACGTAATTGACTAAGCACCTATACATTTTAATTTAGCAAGGCAAAGCAATCATGGCATTCTAACTCCATTAAGAATCAAATTTTCCAAAAATAAAACAAGTACAATAAAAACATCTAGGCAGAACTTTTGATTACTTTGCCCAGATGCCTAACCTGGTAAAAAATAATAATAGAATTTTCTGAATTAACAATGATTATAAGCTAACCACCTTGGACCTACAACTTTTGGACCATTACAAATATTGACCCCAACCTGTTCCTTGTCCTCCAAACTGAGGAAAGGGATAGGTGAGAACACTGTCCTCAACAGTAAGTGTATATCAATGCAGTGTATCTGCCACAAGGGAGAGTAATAGTAAGCCATCAAATTTCTTGCCGCAGCAGAAACCTTATCCAAATAAAGTACAGAACTTAGTACTTTAAACACTGCTTCCAATACACTATAAATCATTAATGCTTATTGCTTCATATGTACAGATCTCAAGTACATATACATCCTTTCTACATTACAAGGAAGAGTAGCAAAATTTCATTACCTATCCCTGTCATCTATGATATTAGTTACCGCTAAAATTAATTAATGAGAATAGAGAAGAGAGAGTGAAATATATTATTAGACTAAAAGCAAGTCTGTAATGCAAATCTTAAACCTAGAAATACACAAAGAAAGTCTTATATAATAGGGCAACACAACATAAAGAAAATACCTAAACTACCCTTAGTATTAATACTCTAACAATTACAACATTTGTTAATGCAATATGGTGTTCAAGATATAATTCTTACCCAAAATATAATGAATCTGACAGCTGATAGTTTATTATAATCAGGTGGACATATAAAAAAAGTTGGAGCTTACTTGTATTTCAAGACCCAGAGCTACAATCTGGTGACTACATCTGACCATTAACACTGCCGACTGGAACCTGAGGGCCTGCACATAAAAGTTAAAACTTAGAGAGTAAAATCAACTAGCTGTGGGAGAGTTGATGGCATACCCCGATTGAAACTCCATAGAACCGTCTCTGCCACACCCACCCAAATGACAACGCTTTTGATCAAGGCTTAACTTGTTGGTCTCATCACCCGCAACAACCAACAGTACAGGATGTGACCTTCTGAATCCTTCATTACCCTGATACTTTGCAGGAATCAACAGCGACTATAGAGAACAATTATAAATGCAGTATGGTGCTCAACAAATAATTCCCACTCACAATATAAAGTATGTCACAGCTGTTTGCTTATTTTAACCTTGTTGACAATATAAATAAGTTAGAGCTTACTTATGTTTCAAGACCCAAAGCTACTATCCGATGACATCTCGCCATTAACACAGCCCATTGGAACCTGAGAACCTGCATGTCACAGATCAATCCAGCTTTAATTTGCCCAAGCCAGGCTAAGTTACCTGCTTTACCAATAAAACTTTTAAACTGCGTCCAGGTAAATGAAGTCCAATACAGTCAACTGGGAAAATTGTATAAACAAAAGAATCCTATTCAAACACTGCTGGTTCTATAGAAAAAAAAAACCTCTAATGAAATTAAGCATTGAGATACAGTTTACCAAGGCAACGTCACAGCAACAAGCTGTGGAAAATTGATGAATGCACTGCAACATCAAATCAACGATAGTCCTTTATCATGCATGAATGTAAAACATCTTATGAATAAACTGCATCCAAAAGATTACCCTCTTTAATTATATATTTAATAGAATGAGCTAAGTAAACCAACAATCTATATCATGATCCAATAAGAATCAAGAGATTTCATCAACTCCTTAACCTGTTTGAGATATGATAAGACAAAAGCAAACCCTCTAATTACGTCTGTCTCATCAGACACTTCTTAGACAATTCTATTTGCTCAACAAACACTTGTGCATATAGTATACCTCTTTCTTTCTTTCTGCACCAAAGGCATGTGTCACCCATCTTGCTTGCTATCTGGTGCATTAATGGAAAAAAGTAGTTAAAAAAATTAGTTAGATGTTCCAACATCAACCCAGGGAAAATTCATCTCAACAAGAAGGGGAAAAAGTAAATCTTGAATCATCCAAACTATTTAACAAAGACGTTAGCAAGTCAAGAAATATTTTTTCTATATAAAGAAATAAAGAAGAGGCAAGGCAAGTAAATTCAAAACAACCAAGCATACAATAAAATTCAAGGTGGGACTAAGCACCCCAAGACACATGCACTTGTAGGCATGTGTGCATGTGCACAACTCCCCACAACACATTCCAAGACATTAGACAAAAATCTGTTGTTTGTAACTTAGGAAGCAACAGTTTATCAGAATTTACAAAGGGCACACACAATTCAATTAGTTTATTTGAATGTAGAATACCTGCAAATATCGCAGAAAGAACCAATAGTGGATGGAGATGATTATGGTACTCACAAAAGGGCTAAAATTAAAAGTATTGTTATAACAAGGGTAAATGGTTTTTCTCTTTTTTCTCAAGTTCACAAGTAATATTACAGTGATATACCACCCAACTGATTTGGCATTCCCTCTTATCAATTAACTGCAGTTCTTATATTGGGAAGGAGAGTAAGTTCTATTTAAGGGTTGTATTTTTTTGTTATGAGAAACAAGATTCTAAATTCATGAGAAAGAAAAAAGTACAAAATGGTGAATACTGAATAAGACATCTACCAAATGGGAAGGGAAAAAAGATAATGCAATGAAGGTCTGATGATTACAAATGACATTCCAATTCTGTTGTAATAACGAGAGGGGAAATCAGAAACTCCTTTGCTAGAAGAAGTGAAGATTTGGCCCCTAGTCTAACTACCACACATAAATCCATCCTGAATTCATCTTGCTAGACGCAGAAGTATATGGTAAGTCAGCACAATTTATGTAACTACCTGAATGAATCATCTGGCTAATGGCATAACAGAAAGTAGATTTAGCTATAACTTTTTTCACGTTGCTACTACTACTCAAGTCAATGTACACCTCTAAGAATTCTATCACCATATGAAAACCAACATTTCAAAACAGAAAATTAAACTTATTAGAAATTTTCAGCAATATATGTACATAAACATCCAACACAAGAATCAACATAATTGATTACAGATGGGGAGTTACCAGAACCTAAAAAGAGGTGAATGTGATCAACACTTGTCAATGCAACCAGATTTGATGTTGTGGAAATGATCATACACTGACAATAAATCCTTCTGTCTTATTTCCACTATATAAGATGGGACCTTGTAGATTTCAAATTCTCCACCATTGTGTCTATCCACTCTTAGAGGGATAATTCTACTGAAATGAATCTAGAGCAATGATGAAGATTAATCACAACCAAATTAGAATACTAGAATCAAAGGAATCATGAATCTAACAGATTTTACCTTGGATTGTGGCCATATTGGTAACCATCCAGAATTTATTTGCATTATTTGCACCTCAGCATTTTACAGCTACAAGTGGGATCTCTCAGGAGCTTTACTGAATCAGATTTATCTCCAGAAACTTTGTTCTCTCCAGCTTCTTGAGCATCAAAAGTAGTCTCTGAAAAACATTCCTTTCTCTCTCTCTAGGAATTAACAGATGCTCCAAGGAATTAACCCCAGAGTGAACATCCTGCAAAACAACAATATACGGAACTGTGAAAAATCAGTTGGACCAGCACAAGATGGCAAGTTAACCTTTCCTTCTACGGAAGTAGCAATATTGCTAACTGAATAAGCAGTCCCAAGGCATTATTCTTGATCCGGCTTACCACATAAAAGGTAACAGGGTGCCGAAGTGAAGAAGATTGCTGGTTTAGGATGAAAGATGAAGTAGACCGCCGTGGTAGAAATACAATGGGATACGGGGATGGACATTTGCCATGGAGAAACAAGAGTTTGAAAGCTGGCATTGCCACCAAAGGGGGATAGAGCAAAAAAGTGGCAACTCCCTTTGGATGGTATAATAGCAATCCACTGATAGTAATGACAAAAGCACATGTCTTGGATGATCTGCCAAATAAAACTCGGTAATCCCAACAATATTGCACAAACTTAGACCATTTGGAAAGGAAGAGAAGAAAATAATGAATACTGAGAAACGGATGTCTACTAACAGCAGTTGTCATTTCATGATAGAAATTATAAAGATGCACATAAGAAGAGCCCAGTCCTAGGTTTGAGTGGCTGCACTATTATGTATCCAAGATGGGTATGATGTAGAAAATATTTATGCTATTTTCATGCACTGAAGCAGGCATAGAAGGGTACCACTTGATCGAAACATAATGCTGATATCTGACTGGTATTACAGCTCTAAATTGTGATATTACTGCTCCAGAATCAACATCCTTAACATAAATCTGCATTCAACCATCATAACAAGAAAAACATAACATCCAAAAAGACAAAGTAATAGTGGTTTTCAGCTGAGGCATGAAAACCTATGTATACATCTACTACTTTTCGACCTTATAACTGTCAACCATAAATTTCACTTTTTTTCCTTGTTAAATTTTGACTTCATTCAATCAACAATTAAACAAAAAAGCTTCATTTGTTTCAATAGAAGCCAAATAAGGAAATGACTTTTAGCCTCAGCCATTGGTATTGCCAGCATATTACCATGAATAAATGTTAATCACCCTATATAAAAGACTTGCACAACATGAAATATAAACTCAACATAAAAAGGTTAAAGGTGTCATCCATCTTACAAGATGGAAGTTATTTTTATGCATGCAGCAAGGCAAAGCAATCATGGCATTCTAACTCCATTAAAAATCAAATTTTCCAAAAATAAAACGAGTACAACAAAAAGGTCGAGGCAGAACTTTTGATTACAATTTATAAGCATTGTAAAATTACCTGCATTTATCATAGGTTCAATGGTAAAGATCTGCCCTGCCTTCATAACACCAACAGCTTTATTTCCTGCTAAGGTTAAGGTCATACAGAGAGGACAAAGGAAAAATACAAAGTGGGTAAGAAGAGATTGAAATTGTAATATCACAAAAATATGAGTCAGTTCACTCTATACTTTGCATTCCTCATTTTGTTCAGAGGCAAATTTTTAATGCAAACGAACATTCAAATGGAAAAGTTGCTTCTTTACGGATACTTGCATAATGAAGAATCTTTGGTGCGCAATGGAAGAGCTCTCCAATACCATGACCACAATCAGACTTCGCTTATCTACATAGGACAAGGAAAGAAAGATGGGTTAAGAACCTGACATCTTCTCATTTGGAATAAAGAATAAGAGAAACAACAAATAACCAGGATTCCAGGTTACTACAGAGAACCCTGATATTGAAGGATGTTCTTTCCAACAGGTTTGAGATAAATATTCTCAACTACAAAAATACGCTAATGCTGATGAGGTTGACATGGGTCATCCAAGACCTTAGATAGTTAGGTTTTTCACACAGCTATCAAGTTCAATTCGGCGACAAGTGTGATCAATCCTAGTTTTCTTCAAGTCTTCATTATTGGTGTCTTTGTTGAAGAGGAAGTCTCATCTCTATTTTTGTTTTAGTGCATATCCAAGAGATCCTAGATTAGACAATGATGAAAACTATGCATGCAACTTATAAGCAGACAGATGTACTTCACGCTAACATGATTTCAAAAGGAAAATATTAATGAGTAACTTACTCAACAAGTGTCTCTCATTCTCTCAATTTGCTCTGAAGTTTTCACCTTCAAAAGATACGTGAATTTGAAAAGAAACATAAATAAAAATACTGGAAGGAAAAAATATTTTGAAGATGAACCAGTTCCTATGCAATAGTCAAGAATTCTTGACGATGTCGAGCTAGAATAACTTGTTCTTCCGGAATACTTTGATTCAAGGCCAAAGAATTTCCTACCGCTACCATATAGTATTCATCTCTATGGGGTGATAATAAAGCACCCGTATTAAGGTCATATCCATCTGTCCAATGCCAAAATTATCCACCTTTATATCAATGGAAAAATTATAGGTCCTTTTTTATCTAAGGTTACCTCAACAACATGTTACAGATTACTAATGGGCTCTATATCCAGGATTCCCTAAAAGGTAAAACACATAAAGAAAAGTCTGTTACAAGAAGAAAAGACATCAAAAAACATAGAAGAAACTTCAATAGAAACAGGGGGAAGGCATGGACACAGCAGTATGACATATCCACGAAAACGGAATATTAAAATAAGTTGTCCACTCAATAGCATATGTCGAGTATACCCATGATGATTGACAATTGAGTGCAAAACCACGGACTAAAGTGAACATGTATGTACTAGACTAGAGCTGCTTATAGACCAATGTCAAAACAAGATATACATAAGCTGGGCCTTCACATCCAAACAAAAATGGGTTAGTAACTCAGCAACTGCCCAAGTAGGTTGTTCAATGTTGATCATGTATTGCACACTTTTTTGATATAGCATATAGCCTCAGTGTCCCGTGCAAGAATAAAAAGCAGTTAGCATTTAAAGACTATATATAGCTGAAGCTAAGTAATAAGCATAGAAGATTAGTACATTTAAGAAACACACACATCCAGATATTGAGTCATTTGTTGGTCTCATGGACCTTATAAAAATGAAGAAGAAAACAAAAAATACCAATCGGGCATGTAAAAAAATTATCATCGGCAAGCAGAGAAAGTTACTACTCCCTAAATATCAGGATCAAAATGTTAAAGCCAGAGGGATTTATTAGCATCTCTGAGTTACCAATTATGTCTGCATAGACAGAAGACTGCGACGCAGAAAGAGAGGGAAGGGGCTGCTAAGCTAGCAAAAAATTGATTCTGCATCATGTTAAATCCCAATATCCAAGAGTAGAGAAAGAATGCAATTGAATTAATTCATGCATCATCTTATGTAAAAAAAACTAATCCATGCATGCCACAATTAGAACTTTTAACTTTAATTCCATGCACAAGTTTGAGCGAGCAAAATACTCTCCTATTGAACAGCATTCAGATTTTACACAACATCATTAGTCCTCAAACAACTATAACATCAAAAAAGGAAAGAACAACGAGACACAAAAAAATAGTTGAATGGCTGTGATAATTGAATGACTTGAAATAAAGATCGGTTGAGTTCAATATTGCCAACGAGTTATCAGAACAAAAAAGGTAATCAAGTTGACTCAAGTACACACAACTACGACGAACAATCTGACTAAACAAAGTTGATTGAGCATTGAACAAAGATGTCATATAACAGTATAAGAACAAGAAAAACATAGAGTAGATAAACATAAAAACAAGAGAGAGAGAGAGAGAGAGAGAGAACTTACAGAATTGAAAGCCCAAAGAAATTCATGGAAGAGAAGGCTACTAACCTTAACATATCTAGGCTTTGATACACTACATCTTGAAGTATCTACAGAAGCTGACCAAGAGTTAAAGAAATTAAACAAGACATAATCAAACAAGAAATTCAAACTAAAAGATAATCTGAACAAGTTGCGGTGTTAAATCTTTTTTCCTCATCGACGATTTGAGTAAAACGTGACAAAAATGGTAAAGACCAACACAAATAGAAAGATCTCTTTAAACTTAATATAGTTCCAAAAAATAAAGAAGAACAATAGAGAGGGATGAAGGAGAGGGAGAATCAGAGAGGGGTGAAGGAGAGACCGAGAGGGAGCGTCTGAAAGCGAGGACAGAGCGAGAGAGAGGGAGTTCAGATTATTTATAGTTGTTTAAACTTTAAGGCGGTTGAGGTTCGCATTAGGAAACAAATATGGGAAATTTCGAGCGGTCCATTTTTTAATTCATTTTTGCTATCCACCGTCAAAAAAAAATTAAAAAACCTAATTTAGGAGAAATTAAAAAATGAGAACTTAAATTTTGATGCAGACGAATTTAAATTTAAAATAAGGTAAAATATGATCATTAAATATTTAAAATATGGTGAAATCTCACCATTAAATTTTTGTGTATAGATTTGATTCACCTTTGGTTTGGATAAAAAAAAAATTTATCTTTATTTAATATGTGTATGAATCTAGCATTAGAGAAGATTTTTAAAAATTTTTTTACCCTAATTTAAATTTAGATTTAATAAATGGTAAGGATGAGAGATACTCTAATTAAAATAAATTTTAAAATTAAAAACTCCTAAAGATTATAATTTTTTCACATTAAAAAATTCTTTCTTTTTTTTCTTATTTATCTATATACACATATAATTAAAATTATTT